CAGACTTGCAACTATATATATACCATAATTGTAAAATTTGTTTTGTTCTTAACTTTATTGTAACTTGCTGGTAACATATGACCTGACCCATGACACAACGTTATGACGTTGATACTTCTCTGTATATGATACCGGCAGCAGGTTGACCCCAACCATGCTGTCTCGTGGGATATCTGCAAGACTGCGTCAGTCTTTTCGATAACCACTTGTCGGTATTACCGGCAGGTTTGCAAGAGGTTGACCCAGCTCACTGCCAGGGCTCAGGGGATGTCGGCAAAACCGTGTCGGTTTCTTCGATGACCTGAATGAAACCTGTCACGTCCAATATCCAAGAAGCCGCCGTGGTAACGACATTTTTCAATATTTAGCTACAGGTTTTTTTATCTAGAGGTTTTAAGTAAAGCTGGTGACTTTTATTAGAATGGAAAATTAAATGTAAAAAGTAGTGTGAAATTGTGAAGTTGTATAAAAACTTATAAATATATATATATATATGTTGAATGAATAAAGAAAGAATTATGTTTCTCATTTTCCAGGGGAGAAGTCTCCCCTCCCGCGGACGCCCATGACAGTCAGTTCAAGCCAAAAGTCACACACCATGATCAGTAGTGAGAATTATTACGTTTATTGTGATTTTCAATGACTGAGCGAGTTCTGTGCTTATATATTGTTGCGTCATCGAGGTCACGTGACTGGTGTGGCGCCCTCACTATAACGAACGAACGTTAACTTCAACAATACCCTGTGACTGCAGTTCAATTACTCACTATCTACACACACATTACCGCGTCACGTTGTCCCCCTCTTATATATACCAGCCTACCCCATCTAGTAAATACTAGAGCATTCCTGAAGGAACAAGATAGTTCTAGAAACTAGTTTGTTTTAGCGCGAATATTGAAATTAAGTGTATCGTAAAGTTATATTAAGTTTTATTAAGTAAAGACTTGTGTCGTCAAAGTTTCGTCGAAAACGAAATTACGGAAAGTTAATTAACAAACGGAGACGTAACAATATCAAACCTAATCAAGTTAGGCGTACGTACAGTAAGTCTCGGAATGTCTGTTGAAATGTTGTATGTGAACTTGTAAAACTTAAGTCAAAGTAAATGTAGCCTATAGTAAACAGGCGATAGCTACTTAGACTGGACTCAGCATTATATTCATCAAACAACAACAACACATGACCCGTTATTTAGTTTATCGTAATAACACAGTCAGCAAAGTACTGCTAACGTGAATTTTTTGCACATTAAAAAGGTACTACTGTTTACGTAATTTCCTTTTGATTTTGTAGTAGAACAATTAACTTAGTTTTAACTGTCTCAACTTTCAATTTAATTGTTTTACCTAAACGTAAAAAAAGAAGAAAAAAGCTATCGAATGTTCATTTTTTGTTTTACATAAAATGTTGGCTTTTCACGTTTTGAGGATGCGGGTATTGGGGGTTGATCCAGTATTTTGAATTTATTTAGGGGTACGGCTTTCACCCCCCCAAAAAAAACCCGTAAGAAAATGCCGATTTCACAAAAGTTACTAGAGAGAAAATATGGGGGTATTCACCCAAGCTGTACAACCGCTGGTATGAGGCAAGTCACAAAATTACATCAAAAGTCAATTTTAGTATGTAAATAGACACCTAATTTTTCGTCATTTAACTGATTTATTCTAACTAATTTGTGTTCACAGAGCACTATATAAATGAAAATGGTCCGCACACTAATTATCTTGTGTTACAACATGCATAGAACTCAAGGTTCTCTCGAATTGTCAGATTTTGTTAGAGGAAGAATAGTTGGTCAAACAGATGGTGGAATAAGTCAGCGGCAAATTTCGCAGAGTTT